GATGAATGCTTCCTATATGCATTTGTTGATTTTTGTACATCAATAAGTGGTTGGGAATATTGTAGACCAGTAGTAGTGGTTGATGGGAAATTCTTAAAGACAGCCTACAGGGGAATTATGCTGACAGCAAGCACAATGGATGCAACAGGTAAAACTATAGTTATTTTGTAGGCAGTTTATAAATTGTAGATACATTGTAGATATATTATAGTTTATATGTATTTGTGTTTTTATATGCATTTTCAAAGCTGCCAGTTAATTATTTTTTTACTAATAATGTAGGAACAATATTGCCTTTGGCATATGCAGTGGTTGATTCGGAAAACGACGCATCGTGGAAGTGGTTTTTTAAGCAATTCAAGCAAGCATATGGTGAAAGAACTTCAATGTAAGTTGTTTCAGATAGGAATGAGAGTATCCTGAAGGCAACATCAATTGTCTATCCGAGCGTGCCACACTACTCTTGCGTGTGGCATATTTGGACAAATATAAGGGCAAAGTTCAAGAAGGGTCATCTACAATTAAATGAATTGTACTTTGCTACAGCAGGGTCATACACTCTGGATGAATTTAATGAAAGGATGTCGAAGATTGAAGAGATAGACCCGCGTGTTAAATCATACCTCTATGATATTGGCTATCATAGATGGTCAAGAGTATATGCAACGGTGAATAGAACTTGGACTGTGACTTCAAACATTGCAGAGTCCTTGAATGCTGTAACAAAAGATGCAAGAGAGCTGCCAATATTTGACCTATTAGAGCATATGAGGACACTTCTTGAACGTTGGACAAAAGAGAAGTTATTGAAGGCAAAGGGTACTTTCACATACCTTAGGTACAAATTCAACAAAGAATTGGAGAAAAACAGTACATTATCTCAGAAACTTAGGGTAAGATCTGTTTATTTGGTACAGAAAAATAATATTTTAATACACAGTATTTTCAGATTGTAGATAAATTGTTGAAAAATTGTAGTTAATTTGTAGATTGTAGATAAGTTGTAGATAAATTATAGATAATCTATTTTTATGATTGTAAATATTTTTCTTTCTGTTTGCTATGTAATTGTAGGTGAGGGCTTCAACAGATCATATCCATACTGTGATAGATGGTGTGAAGCGGTACATTGTGTGTCTTGAAAACAAGAAATGTACTTGTGGCCAGTTCCAACTTGATGAACTTCCATGTGCGCATGCTTTGGCAGCTTTAAGGCACAGGAATGAAACTTATGAAAACTATTGCTCTTGGTATTACACAAGGGAGAGCCTACTGCGTACATATGAAATACCAGTAAATCCCCTTCCTGATGAAAGCAAATGGAATGTGCCACAACATATATCTGATGAAGTAGTAAATCCACCTACGGGAGAGAAAAAGCAGCCAGGAAGACCTCAAAAGGAAAGATACAAAACATATGATGAACTAAAGTCAAAGAAGTACAAGGTGTCATGTGAAAACTGTGGAGGTGAAGGGCATAACAAAAGATCTTGCAAGAATGCACCCAAAAAAAAATATCATGTAGTTAGAATAGTATTTCGAAATAATTGTTAGTGTGTTCAAGTTAACAGAATTTTGTGTGTAATTGTTTGAGATTTTGAAGATTAAAAATGTAGTTAACTTCAATTTGTTTCTGTGTTTGTTAACATATTTTTCTGTATTGTGGCAAGCATCTACCTCCATTTTTTACATTCTGTACAGCAGTTAATATTTATTATCTACAATATAACTACAAGTTTTAAGAAATTAATTTAACTTGAACTGGCAGTTATATACAGAAATTAAATACAACTGGAGGTAAATCCCTACAAATTATATACATATTAAACTACAAAATTATATACAATCTCAACATTCAATGTTTACAGATTGTGGATAATTTGAAGGATTTTTTGTAGATAATTTGTAATCTGACAACATAACAACTACATTTAAGATAATGAAGAACAAGTGCAGTAAATATTAAACAACTGAAAATATTAAATTTCAAGTGAACTACTAAAATTGATAGAAATTAACTAATCNAATAGATCATATCCATATTGTGATAGATGGTGTGAAGCGGTATATTGTGTGTCTTGAAAACAAGAAATGTACTTGTGGCCAGTTCCAACTTGATGAACTTCCATGTGCGCATGCTTTGGCAGCTTTAAGGGACAGGAATGAAGGATATGAAAACTATTGCTCGCCGTATTACACAAGGGAGAGCCTACTCCGTACATATGAAATACTAGTAAATCCCCTTCCTGATGAAAGCAAATGGAATGTGCCACAACATATATCTGATGAAGTAGTAAATCCACCTACGGGAGAGAAAAAGCAGCCAGGAAGACCTCAAAAGGAAAGATACAAAACATATGATGAACTAAAGTCAAAGAAGTACAAGGTGTCATGTGGAAACTGTGGAGGTGAAGGGCATAACAAAAGATCTTGCAAGAATGCACCAAAAAAAAAAAATATCATGTAGTTAGGATAGTATTTCAAAATAATTGTTAGTGTGTTCAAGTTAATAGAATTTTGTGTGTAATTGTTTGAGATTTTGAAGATTAAAAATGTAGTTAACTTCAATTTATTTCTGTGTTAGTTAACATGTTTTTCTGTATTGTGGCAAGCATCTACCTCCATTTTTTACATTCTTTACATAGCAGTTAATATTTATTATCTACAATATAACTACAAGTTTTAAGAAATTAATTTAACTTGAACTGGCAGTTATATACAGAAATTAATACAACTGGAGGCCGTACAAATTATATACATATTAAACTATAAAATTATATACAATCTGAACATTCAATGTTTACAGATTGTGGATAATTTAAAGTTTTTTTGTAGATAATTTGTATTCTGACAACACAACAAACTACATTTAATATAATGAAAGAACAAAGTGCAGTAAAATATTAAAACAAACTGGAAAATATTCATTTCAAGTGAACTACTAAAATTGATAGAAATTAAACTAAACAAAAAGGTCTGCTACAATAAAAAAACACAAAAGGAAATTGTTACAGAAAAGTTGAAGTACTACACTTATCCTACAAACTAGCATCGACTAAAATTACAATAGACAATGACACTACTTCTTCTTTCTCTGTACTCTTGTTTTCTCATTCAATGCAGGTGNCAACCCACAACAATAGAAGACTTGGCTAGGATGTGGGACCAACAATATCTACTTTTTACGGGGCGAGTGGGGTTCACACGAGCTTTTTGGATCGTTAATGGAGGGGGAGGGGGGACCGCTGCGTTTTATATAAAACGCGGTAATGAACCGCGTTTTATATAGCCGTCTTATCAGCTTCCAGGTAAAACGCGGTATTAAAACGCGTTTTATATAAAACGTAGTAACAAATTGCGCTTTACCTTAACGTCCCAACGACCTTTAAGGTAAAACGCGATTCATGACCGTGTTTTATATAGAATGGTAACTTTTTTTTTCCACCTAAAAAAATATTTTGAGTCCAAAAGAACCATATTTTGGTTCCGGACTCCAAAGAATTAAACTAGAGACTTGCATTTGATAGCGTCTGTTTTTTCATTCTTCCGTCAAATTGATCGAATGAAATATGATGAATATCAGCCATCAGTCAAGTTAACTTTCGTCAAAGCACGTCTGTATCGAGAAACAAATGCAAACTACGAATACCCAACTCCATTTATCACGTGTCAATTGGTTCTATTTCACTTTTGTCATTGCTCCCATGTTCATGCACTTTGACCAAAAAGACAAAAGTATATATATATATATATATATATATATATATATATATATATATATATATATATATATATGCATGTGACATTACCTCAAACCTAAGACTTGACATTTGTCCAAATAAGAGAGCTATTATTATAAAGAAGTTGCTTGTGGGACACAAATTAAGTTCATCCATTTGCTCTAATATAGTTTGAAATTTGCTTTATTTTTTAGTATTATTTGTAAAGAAAAAAACACACTACCCTTCTCATATTTCACTTATAAAATTACACCGAATTTGTTATTATTGTTATTGTTGTATTCACAAGAAAAAAACACATATTTGAAGTGAGGCTCCATCTATTTTATTTATATCATAATTTTTTCGTTTTAGTTTGTCCCATAAAAAATAACATATTTTTATAGTATTTAAAAATTACTTTCCTTTAACATTCCAATTTTAGCATTAATGAGTTACTCATAATAACATGACATCTTTAAAATCATAAGATACTCAAATAGTTTGTGTTATATACATCTCATTATTGTTAGGCTTACATTGTAGTATTTTTGTAAGAGCTGCTAAAAACACGTTCGCTTCCCCTAGTTTTGGCTTTTTCTTAATTTTGTACTAACAGAACTTAACATTCTTGTCTGTTTCTTAATTTTTGAAACATCTTTCGACTTCTTGCATTTCCCAATAAATTCAAGTCCCAAAAATCATCATTATAATGATGAAGTCACGAACGAGCATTTTCCGTGTAGCTTCATGAATTGCGGAAAGTCACGTACCAATTTTGTGACGTGCCAATAATTTTAATTTTATGGGTTCTAAATATTAGAAGAGCGATCTTAAAAGCTAGTAATAACTAGGTTCCAGGTTTAATATTTGTACATATTTAATGAATTGTTTAATCTCCAAATATATTGTTGGATAAAATTTACTGGGTTCAGCCGATCATGTAATCCGGTTTCTAGCTCCGCCCATGTGTACGCTTTTTTGGAACCCGAGAAAAATCCTCGCTGCCGCTACAACGTCTGCCACAACCTCTGCTCTTCGGGTGAGCACTCTGTGATGAACACTTTGTGCGCACCGGGTAAACTCCCCATTGTGAAATAGCCTACAAACCACACAGGGGATGTAAATCGTACTAGGCAAGCGTTGTGCGATAGGCTCGACCCAAAAGACATTAAGGGGAATCGATCCCAAGTCATCTGTGTGGATGACCGCCTTCCAAACCAATTGGGCCATCTCGAAGGACCTCGTGCTTACGATTGCAATTATAAATCTCAGAAAAAACGTTGTTTGCTGCATGCAAAAAATCTACCTACAGAAAATAAGAGCGAGAGAGAAAGAAAGAAAGATGGAAAAGGTTCTTGAGAAACCGCTATTACATTATGATGGATCATTATTATCTGTTTTTAGAGAAGGAGATGTGGCTGCGAAAATAACAAAGGTGAAAAAGGGATCATTAAATAATGATAATCTTTCACCCCCAACTCCATTGTTAGTTGTTTCACCAATCATACCAGGAACTTATCCAGTTTTACTCTTTTTCCATGGCTTCGTTCTCAAGCCTAGCTGGTACAAGTCTCTCCTTCAACATATTTCTTCCCACCGCTATATAGTTGTTGCTCCTCAGGTGCTAATTCTTATTATACCTACCCCCCCCTCACCATTTGTGTTTATAGTTGTTTGTTTGTTGGATATATAGAGTCGAATTCAGAATTCAGCGAATTCAGCGTTATGGGTTAAAAATGAATATATATAATTATCTTTTACAATATATGTATATTTTTTTGCATATATATATATATATATATATATATTGTATATAGTAGTTATGTACATGAGTCGAGTTAAACTAATGGATCAAGGTTAAATATATGTACGAATCCATCAAGATTGAATTTAACGTCTTTGTTAACCCTTGCATTCGGATTTTTGTAGTTTTCTCCACTGGTTTCTCAAAGCCAAGAAGTGAAAAAAGCAGCCAAAGTTACAGAATGGTTAAGCAATGGCGCCCTCGAATACGTTCTTCCGGAGAAAGTGCAGCCGGATTTACTCAAGCTCGCCGTCTCCGGCCACAGCAGAGGTGGTAAAACAGCATTTTCACTAGCTTTAGGATATGGCAACCTCTCCAACTCAACATAAACGCCTATCAAATTTCAAGCACTACTAGGAATTGATCCAGTTGCACGTAATTAGGATATCAAATGGACGAATTGAGCGTATATAATTTAGGCGAGTAAATGTTAGCCCAGATACTGCTCAGGCCCAAGCTCAGGCCCAACAGTCACAGTCCCAATCTGCCAAGGAAAAGCAGAAGGCCCTTTTATAGTTTTACACTTTACATTTTATATTACATTTTATGCTTTATTACACATGTAAATATAAATAGAGAATACTGAGTAATACATTTTGGATTTTTGGTCAATTAAAAACTTGACCGACTCATTTTTCAGTCTCCTTCTTCTCTCAACCCTTCTAGGGTTTTCTTCTACTAACTTCCGCCGTGACTATCGAGCTTCGACTCTAACATGGTATCAGAGCGGGAATATAGATTCCTCTCGTCATAACCTTTCTTCCGATGGTAGCCTCGTTTGAAATTGCTAAGGATCGTACCAAATCGTCGGTTTTCAGAATTCGTTCGTAGAAGTTTGGGGTTTCGCTCAAGTTTCACGGGTTTTCGACTTCTATTGAGAGAATCGTCGATAATCTTCAAAATACACGGTATCCTGCGAATCCCCCACCGAAAAATTCATGGCCCAGGACATCATGGTCTAAGGACGTCATCCTCAACCGTCCAAAGACAATCCTCATGGTCTGAAGGGAATCTGCATCATGTTTACATTTTCCGCACAAATATATACTTGTAGTATCTCTTTGCTTGCAAGTGACCCGATAAGCAACCGCTACCCCA